ACATCCTCAAATAGGTTAAGGCTGATCGACTTCGCCGGGGCCCGAAATATGGTTATCTGTAGTACTAGGTTCCAGCATAAAAAAATACATGAAGCTACCTGGCTGTCCCCGGATCGAAAAGCCACCAACAAGATCGATCATGTTGTGATAGACGGAAGACATGTCTCCAGTGTTTTAGATGTACGTGCGCTTCGAGGTCCTAACATCTACTCGGACCACTACCTTGTTGCAGCCAAGAAAAACGAACGCCACCAAACACAAGGAAGGTTCGACGTCGAGAAGCTGCAATCACAACAGACAGTCGAACGATTTTCTACTCGGCTTGCACTCCTGCTCTCTGAGAGCACTCGTCAACAACTCGGTATAAGGGAACTGTGGGACGGCATTTCAAACTCTTTACGTACAGTCGCAACCGAAACCATTGGTTTTCGGAAAGTGCAAAAGAACAGCTGGTACGACAGACGTTCCATTGCCCGACCAGGGAGAAGTTCGAATAGCAATTACCCGCTATTCAAACACGGCGGCGAAGAACTGATAAGGAGCATACATCAACTTCTTTGTAAAATATGGTCGGACGAAAGCAAGCCCAACGATTGGAATTTAAGTGTGCTATGCCGAATCCACAAAAAAGGAGACCCCACAAACTGCTCCAACTTCAGTGGGATAAGCCTCCTCAATATTGCATATAAGGTCCTATCGAGCGTATTGTGTGAAAGATTAAAGCCCACCGTCAACAAAGTGATTGGACCTTATCAGTGTGGCTTCAGACCTGGAAAATCAACAACTGACCAGATATTCACCATGCGCCAAATCTTGGAAAAGACCCGTGAAAGGAGATGGTATTGTTATCATCGGCCTCAACATCCGCGCCATTAGTTCAGCTTTTTCCAGAATGGACCAGAACCAGCATAAACACCAGCAATAATGTCAGACTAGAAATCCAACACAGGATAACTCTTGCCACCAGGTGTTACTTCGGACTGAGTAGGCAATTGAGAAGCAAAGTCCTCTCTCGACAAACAAAAACCAAACTCTATAAGTCACTCATAATACCCGTCCTGCTA